TCCGCGAAAAAATTCGGCTAGGCTTCAATTACTTTTTAAGTTTTTAAAATTAGGCTGAATGGCTTTCGGCTATGATTGGCTTCTTCAAAGCCGTCAACGGGCAGGAGAGTCCTGCTCGTTCTGTAGGAGATGGAGATCCGCTTACATAGTAGTTGGGATCCTAGTAGGCAGCCACCTTGGTCCAAGAGCTGAACTATGCGTTCAGGCCACTTGACAAGGTGCCATGCGCATTGCAGATCGTCGTTGTGATGTCTTCCCATCGTGGTTATCCATCTTGGGTGAAAAGGTCGTGTTTGGAAAGGGGGAGGAGGGGGGAGGTGGCCGTATTTAGCGCAGTGAGATATTTTTTATTACTGATATTATTTACTATTTCTGATCAGTGATTCGGCGTTTCTCCTACCCCATCACTCTCCTGGATGGACTTTGGATCTTTGGAGATGTCGCAGTGGTAGAAAATTTCTCACTTCTAGGTGACACCGAAATATCCCCAAAAATTTGGGAATATTTTGGGCTAATTTTGAGTGAACCGAGTTTTCTTTTCGATGGACATTTCATACATTCCTGTGTTTCACAGCAACTGTGTCCTATACAACACAGGGAGCACGAAGTCTCTCTTTCAGCTTTTCAATTATTCATGAATTTTTGAAATCAAAATGCCAAAACAATCATGTAGTAATGTATCGCTCCCTGGAGCCTTGTTATCCGATTGTTGTGATGTTTAAGCGTCATTGTTAGGCCCATTAATCGACAGGTGTAGTGGTTGATTTGGCTGGATAATTTATTTATTTATTTATTGAGAAATACACCTGAAGCAGCGCTGTTTGATATAAAAAAGTAGGATTGCGAATGGCGCACGTGAGAAGGGCAAGAAGAATAAGCAATGAACGGGCCAAAGAACAAGAAACAAAAGATTAAATAGTGCGAAAGAAAAGACAAGGAGCAGAATCAAAAAGCATATAAAAAAGGAGCAGAAGGCAAAAAAACTTCGTGAAAAATTTCGGCTGAATAGGGTCTTTTTCCAGAGTTCCTTGATACGATTCCCTTGCACGACCTTTCTGTCTTCTCTCCAGGTTTTTTTTAAAGTGTGCGGTCGAGGGGACAGGGTTAAACGTCCCCGATTAATTATAAGAAATAAAAGTTCTGCCCCGCAACGAACTAGGAGAGAAGGGGTGTAAAGCGCGTTGAACGGGAAAAATCAGCAATCAGAAAAGGTTCTCATGGCAAAATACGACCCCCCCCCTTCTGTCTTGCACACCGGATGCTGTGCCTTGCATGCAATGCTACGGCTGCGTTCATACTTTGGATCCGGTGGAACTGGAAAATCCACGAAGAAAAGGATACCTATACTGAGGGGAGGAGAGGCAGAGAAGGAAGAAGCTCCCTCATGGACCATTAAAGTTCACGGGGATTTTCCTGAAGGGTTGTTCCACGAGCACTATCACCACTACCATTACGACGAGGTTAAGGCAACGATCGTTGCCTTCAAGCCTGAAAACCTGCAGTACTTGCGCCGATCTGAGGGAGCTACGTAAACACCAGGGTTACTCTTGCCCGAATTCTGTAACTCAGGTCACGAGAGACACTAGCTAAAACTCCTTCCTCAAACACCATTGCTATGGTTGTTTCATGACTCGACACTTAAAGATAGCCGTGAAGGACTTGGCTGGCTGGTTCGACAGGTTTCGAAGACGCAAAGGCTGGGACCACGACCTGGGCCGAATGTCTAGACGCTGGCAGTAGCTGCAAATTGAGCTATAGCGCTGTAAGGAAATTCAACTCTGGCGTCGTGTGAAAGTGCAATGGGAGCCCGCTGGGCAGCGCCGTGTCCTGTTTCAAGTTTTCAATCATTGCTGAGATAACTGAATATTTATGCATTGAGTGTTTGGGAGATAGTTCCCGGAGCTATACATCATGATCTGATCTGAACTGCCACTCTTCGAGCAAGTTATCAATCATCACGTAATGTCGGCGCAAACAGCCGGGGAAGATTTTTTCACGACTCATCCAAGACCTGCGTGCTAGGAATTTTGTGGATGTAATGTGACATTTGGCGAGCGCCGCCGGTCAAATCAAAGATCTCGAAACGAAATCATCACAGGAGGGACGGACTGGGAATTCTCAAACTTGATGGAATAGTGTGGAAAGCTGGAAGCTATCACAAAAATGCTGAAGTTAGGGGCAAAAGACAGACCCAAGGCGGGGCTCGAACCTCCATGTCCCGTTAGTTGGACGAGCGCGCTATCCAAAACTATCGTTCTTACATCCACCTTTCTCGGCCAGGTCTCTCTTACCCTCTTAACCTTTCATACGAAAACAGCTGGAAGCTTTTCTATGTTCATTGAACGCTTTAAGCCTAACAGAGGTCCTTAAGATCTTCCCACAGATTCACGAAAAGCTTCCAACATGAAGTAAAGCTGTTGAGTACGTTCCTACATAATCCCTTTGAAGGTAACTGCTCTTGTTGCGGGTTAAACCGTTAACGAAGCTTGAAACAAGAAAGTTTCCGCAAACATCATTTCTGCCGTGTTTCTGCTTCATACTGGGCGACAATTCGGCTGCCTTCATAGTTGTGGTCTTCTTACAGTCGGAGAAATGCGCGACTAGTATTAGATATGTATCGATTCACAGCTCGGGAATGAGCGGCTGCGACAGGACAGGGGGGGGGGGGGGGGATGGAAACGTTACTTCCTAGTTCGGCATTGTAGTACGAGTTGACTTGATAAATAGTGTCGGGGTAGAGCATCGTTGGTATGTTGAATGGGTTGGGTCCTGGAGAGGACGCTGCGTAAGTCACATCGCTTGCAACGCCTATTTCGCTGTAACTTGCGGGAACAGTGTTTCCCACATCCCTGCTTGAATCGCGCGATTCCAGCAACTCGGCAATTACTGGTGAAGCGTGGGGCCGAAGCGACCGCAATGATGAGCAGAAAAATTAATAATCTCTCAAATCGCGCCATGGCCAGCCCTGCACTGTGAACATACTTGGCGACAAGGAGCGACTTCGCGCGACAACTTTTAGCGACCAAATGAGCTCCAAGGCAATGGTAACGCGAGGAAGATTCGCGACCCACTCAATTGCTGAAGCGAGGACTACGAGATTCTATGAAATGCAGTCTTTTGAACTGCAGCTTGCCGAGCATCATTTTTCGACGGCCTTCGAACTGGGGCCGTATGCTATACTCCCCCTCGAGGGGAGGGGTCCCCTTCCCCGTATGCTACACTTCCCCCGAAGGCTTTGGGGGAGACGCCACGCCTACCAAATTAGGGGGAGAGCTCCCCCAACAACAAGTGTTGGGGAAGACATCCCCTGGAACAGTTTTTTAGTTTATTTCGCATTTGTTTTGAACTTTTCTTTATTTTTTCATAATACAGAAACATTCCTAACCACTCTACCGGTTTTTTTCATCTCATTACTTTTTACACAGTGTTTGGAGAGCTATTCTATGCTATTGTCTGACCGCACTTTTACACTTTCAAAAATGATCATTTCTTCATTCTTAGGATTTATTATAGCTTTTTAGCCAACGTGAACGTTCTCTTTTCAATCTTAATAAAACATATTCAATTCTAATATAAAATATATATGATTGCATTATAACAATAATAATGTAGGCCGTATATTATATACAGCAATAATAATACAAGTTGTATGAGTTCACAACGGTTGCTGCCCAAACCATGCCAGAGGTCGCCTCTTTGAAAGAAGAAAACTCGCGCGCGCATGTCTAAGCACTTTTCATTGGGGCGCTCCATTTTATTACCACAGCCCTGAGGTGAATTCAAAAGGTTTATTCTACTACGAGAGCATCGTAACAACAATGAACTTTATTCATTGTAGTACAATATTGAGTCACTGGTGATGATCAATGACTAACAAGTTATCGAGTAGCAGTTAAGTCCGTGCAACTAATTCTTACTGGTTTCACAAACAAAGTCCTCTGAAACAAATTTGGATCTACTAAATAAGGTAGAGAACTCAACTTAGCGAACTTTGTACTAACCATAAGGATGCCCTACTTGGATCGTGAGTCGCACTACTTTCTCTGAGCTCCTCTAAATTTTCTCTAAAAACGCTTCATCGCGGTAGCTAGCGCTAAGCAGCTTTGAAAAACAACACTAGTGTACAGTTAAAACCATGAGAAAAATAGGATCACCTCAGTCACGAGGTGAAATTCATTTTTATGTATGTAATATGTGGTGCCCATACTGAAAATGAGTGCGCGTTCGGAGAGCGGAGAACATAGTGATAGAGACAGGGCCACTAAGATAGTGGATAACATGTCGTTCTTACGGTGGGACAGATTCAGCCACCCTTCAATCTAGAGATTTCCTACTTTTCGAAAATTTAGACTGAGAAAGTATTTTATTGAACGCGGATTCAAGAATGTTGAAAAAATTAATGTGGTCACCCCTATGACCTTGATTAATACACAATTCAGCCTGAAAATAGCTCTATGATAGCAGGTGCAAATGATTGCAATTGATAATCATCAGTCCTAGCTTGAGATTCTCCGAAATGTCAAAGCGCAAGCCAGAGGCTGGATGTACGGACGACCCTTCCCCCAAATTTGCGCCAGCCAACTCTGCGTCTCTACCGCTTCGGGGGATCCCCTCGAGTATAGCATACGGCCGCTCTAGGGGACGTCCCCCTGGGGTGTCTTCCCCTAGAGGGGACCCCTCCCCTCGAGGGGGAGAATAGCATACGGCCCCTGGGGTTTTCGTGAAGGGATTATGCCATTTACCCAAGGTGAAGAAAGGGCATCTAGTGCACCATACCTAATTCTCGGACCCAATCATTAAAGACTGTTCAATGTCCGAGAAGACCCCACGGCCATTCTCTTCACCATACCTTTATTTGACCGAAGATCAATGCTTTCAGCCTCACCGTTGAAGAAACATGCCGATTTCGTGGGACAACAGAGAATTATGTGGTGATTTTCACATTTATCACGATCTTCTTACTGTCAGTCATCGGTAATGCTCTTGTCATTGTCGTCATTATGCAGGTAAGCGGCGATCAATATATCGATTATCCCAGGCCCTCACGCCTGGACTTTGCCGTGGTCAATAATCGATTTTTTTCCAGCAACGAGCAATGCGGTCGATTACCAACATCTATCTAATGAACTTAGCCATCACTGATCTCATGCTATCTGTTGTATGTATGCCGCCGACCCTTTGTGAGTCGTTCGGTCGATTATTGATTTTTGCAGCTGTCTTATCGATTCAGCTGTTTTTTACGGTTGGGCTTCTCTTCGTAATTTACCTTTTTAAGTTTCCATGGTGATGAACTGCTGGATCTTTGGCAACGTTCTCTGCAAAGTGTTCGCCTACCTACAACGTTGGTATTATCGATCGTTATCGATTTTCTTTGGCCATTATTACAATACCTCATACTCCCATTTAAATTTTTCATTTTTCAAGCGATGGTCGTGACGGCGTCAGCGTACACACTGGCGGTGATAGCGTTTGAACGATACTACGCCATATGTCGCCCGCTACACTCGCGAATATGGCAAACAAGGTAAACGCACTGGGCGTGGCCAAGACGCGCGATATCGCGCTATCGCTCGCGAGATTATCGATTTTTTCAGGTCGCACGCGTACGCGATGATCATGTTAGTGTGGGTGATAGCGTTGGCAGCAAATGTGTTGATGTTGTTCATGTACGAGGAACAGACCTATAATGGGAATGGGCTCACTTGTACACCTATCTACAAACCCGTTTACCATTTTGCCAATCAGGTACGGTCTCGGTCGATTATCGATTGCACTGAGGTATTGATCGGTTCCAGGTTTACATGACAATCGTACTGTTAGCCGTGCCGTTGGTGATCATGACGGTTCTGTATGGGTCTGTGATTCGTACGCTCAAGCTCGGCATTCGTCTTGAAATCGCTGCCGTCGACTCAGTAGATCAAGAAAGTGGGCGGAGTTTTGTGTAGTTACAGATGAATTTGCCGACTAGACCTCATATACTACGGTATTTACAGACAGCACTGACGAAAACGAAGAAGTACAGCAGAAGTTGTCATTCATTCAAAAATTAAAAGCCAAATTACGGTCAGACAAAAAGACCACTGCCTTCCAATCAAGGTAAGAGCGAATCAATGATTGATTTAGGAACGAAAATCGATAATCGACTGAGTATCCGAAGAAATTAAATTTCGTTCAGGGATAATACCATCATCAAAAAGACTATAATCCCTCCAATGGAGGGCAGTTTACGGTCCACACACATACAAAAAAGTGCCGTTGCCAAACAACGAGTTATTAGGTGAATCAATATATTGGTTTTTTTTTTAAATTGACTGGAGTAGATTGGGAGATCCGCGTCGCGTCAAGAGACGTCGTCGTGGGCGGCATCACTTATGCAAAGACCCGGAAGTGTTGCTGCTTTTCGAGACAGCTCTTTAAGAGTTACCGGCTACTTTCCGCATCTGGTCGCAACGTGGATCTCCTGACCGACACCAAATTTTGATGATTTGTTGACGGTGATCAATACTGTTTGCAGAATGTTAATAGTTGTTGTGATTATTTTCTTCTGTTGTTGGACACCATCATATATATGGTGGCTATTACTTATGGCTGGTGATTCATTTGAGGTAAGCGATCAATTATTGATTCTATTGAGAATTTGTTTTTCTTTATTGCAATTTATTGACCGACTATGTTCGTTGGCCAATAATTCATTTCTGGAAGTTAATGTTATTGCTGTTTTGGGTAGGGGGGGGGGGCACGCGGTAGTGTGACTGACAATGACCGCTTTTTCCGTCTCGCCAAGGCAACGATCAGTTCCTTCCACCATGCTCAGCCTTACAAGAGCGAGACGAATAGAGTAGCTGTGCAAGGGGCAGAGACGCAGTGTGTTTTCCAGCTACTGGACAGACACAGGGACAGAGGAAGCTGGTACAGCTGAAACAGAGAGTGTGTGTAGAGAGAGAACATTGCTACGTTGAGTGGATTGGGTCCTGATGCGAATGCAGCGTACGTCACCCGACCTGCTACGGTAATTTAGCCGCAAGGAAGTAGCGCATCACACCCCGTGCCCCATTCTTACAACGCTAACGTCCATTCTTGTTAATTTTGCTTTTTTCGAATCCATGATTATGAGTGCTGTAAAATACCGTCGATTGATTAGTTTATTGATTCGATATTGATTATCTGCAGAGTCTCGAGTTAAGTGTTTGGAATTCGGATTTGAACACATTCATCACATTGCTCACATATATCTCATCGTGTACGAATCCGATCACTTATTGTTTTTTGAACAAAAAATTCCGTACGGCTATCTATGCGATGTTTGGCCGAAAGAAATCTCTACGGCATCACTTCCAAAAGGTAGGCGCTAAGGTTTCCCTGGATCGATACGCCCTATATCCCGTTCTAATGTTTGAAACCTAACTGTATTCTAGCAGCATCACACGATTTGAGAAGAGAATTTATCAACGTAATATTACTTTATCAGCACATAGTTTCTTTTTGAAATAAGTTACATGGTCGCAGTATCCATCTCACAGCGTGAAGTTTGGGGAGCGTGGCCGCGTGCGGTCGCGTTGCGGTTCTAGAAGTGGTCGACAGTGTCTTGTGTACGATTTCTTGGCTGAATTTCTCAGTGTGCAGATATTCAGCAAAAGGGTTCAGAAGGACCTGCAAGAGTCGCAACTCCGCTGTTCGGCAGCGTTTTCCAAACTCCTATAAGAGGCTTTTGTGTTTATAGAAAGTGTGAACAACTAACTTATATGAGTTGTAACTGGAGAAACCACTCGAATTCATTGAATTAAATCAATTATCTATAATGTACCTGGTCATATAGCCTGACACAGTTGTGTTGGTGTGCTTGACGCCTGCTTTTTTTATTTATTGCGCTCAAGATGCACTAGAAAAGGCCTTTGAGCAGAAACACACGAATTTTTGACCGTGTGACTGACCTTCGGTCAGAGACGCAGAAATTCTCGCGAGCTTTTGTTGTCTGCACTCTGAAATTCGCCGTGAGCTGATTGGTGAAATAATGTGAAGCGCTTTTGTCATGTACGTTGTTGAAGCCAAGCCAAGGTCAACTTGAATAGCTGATTGATTTATTGATCGAGCGGTATCTAAGTTGTCGATAACACATGTCAGGTGGATTGATTAATCGCATGACGGTTCAGGTATATTTCCCAGTTAATGTGCACACATCACATATGCGACACGAGAAACCATTGCTAAACAGGTAATCGATAGTGCTAGTTATTGATTTTTCTGAGCACTTGCAAGGTGTGTGGCCTGATGACGGAAGTTAAGCACCGGGTGTACTAAAAGTGTGAACACACAGTGAGACATATCCTAAAAAAGCGGAGAGACGGACAGAAGAATCGTAATTCGCCGCGCAGTCGCGCGCGGCGCACCGTCTGGTGATGAGCGCGGGAAATTTTCAATGTGGGTGGCGGCGATGGGCACGGGGAATTCAAACTGTTCATTGGTTTCTCGATTCGAGCCGCGAATCGTTGCCTATTTTCTGTTTTTCCCATATTTCCGCGCATATTTCTAGCCATTTCGGCACTTTTCCTATCCCAAAAACTCAAAAAATTTTTTCGCTGAAACGTTGCCTATAGAAATTCGATGCGCTGATCACGAATATCACATCCGTTTCGAGCGCTGGCGTCATTTGGCGCCATTATGCGCCAATTTGGCGCCCACCACTTTTTTCACCAAAGTCGATGAAAACTTGCATGTGATATTCGTGATCAGGGCATCGAATTACACCTATAGGCAACGTTA